AGGGAAAGATCATTCTGTACTTGCTCAGCTTCTAATACTCTTCCTCTGCTGACCACAGCTGGAGAGGATACATATGGGAGTAATGTTTCAAGAGCATGATATTTACTGAACAACTGTGTTCAATTTCCCCCCGCTACCACTACAGCTGACTGGAACAGATAGACTTTTTTATGAAAAAATGTGTAATCTTATAGAAAATCTGCTTTGGATAGGAATTTTGCCATTGGCTTTGATGCAGAAATGATCAGACCCTTGACAGAAATTGAACAGCAGTACACCTTTATTAGGATACGAAGGAAGTATCTTGAAGGCAGCCTTGAGGCAGGTATGTGGGAAGGTGCCATCAATAGGACAGATTGCACCTTTAGAGTCTAAACTGCACATGACACAAACCAAAACTGCCCTCTCGCAGAAGGATCCTACGTGTCTTTGGCTCTACAGCCGTGGCGTGGGTGTCTGAATGAAAGGGTAGCTCTTTCCTGGACTGCTTGTAACAACGTCCCGTGCAATTATCACATCTAATATTGGGTGTTGGGCCTATTCAGCTGGCCTCTAGTTCTGCTGCCTGGGACTGCTGGAGGCACACCAGTCCTTGCCAGGGACACCAAATCCTTCTATGAAAGGGGGAGCATGGGACTATGGCTTTAGGCTTTATTGAGTGTGAGGAAGGTGAGAGATTTATCTGGATTTGGTTTTTCCATGCTGTGTGTGAGGCTGATGAACAGACAGTGTGGATACTCCCAACTCCTCCGCTGCAGTTCTGTTCCCCAACTTTGAGATTATTTACCAGGGCAGGGGATCTCTAGGAGGTCCCTCTCCAGACATGGATCAAGGGGATATGACTGAATTCACTGCAAACTGCCCTCCCAGGGCTGGCTATAGGATCTATAGGATTAGAGACCAGGCTGACAGGAATAAGTTCAAGTACTCCCCAAATCCTGTAATAAAGAAATTGCTGCAGTTTCCAGAATAAATAAGTGAATGGCCAGTGATTTTTCTGAGAGAGCAGACAGCCTTTTCTTATAAAACTAAACTATATAGAGCCTATTTAGCTCCTTTAAATCTGTGCTACAGAACACTTTTATCTGGTACTATATTTCATACAGGGAGAAAATAAACTTCTGTGAAAACTTCCTGCAGTTTACACAGTGATAATAATGTGCAAAGGAAAGTGGAGAAGCTTTTCTCTGACCATATTTGGATTTTACAGTGGAGCGGGCCCTATGTTAACGTTGCTCTATGAACTCATCTGATTCACTTTTTATCACGTCAAGGGGAGGCTCTTGACCACTGACAACACCTCTAGATCCAAGTGAGGATTTAGTCCTTAATGAACGTGACTGAAGCATTACCACACGCTTACAACACCAAGAAATCAGAAGTGGGACACCAGCCTGCTAGCACTCTAATAGACAGCACTTAATATTTCTCTGATATGTGTTAGATATTATGTGAAACTCTAATCCATTTCCACTAGGAGAGGAAAGTGTCCTGCCTCTTCTAACCCAGGAGTCTAACTCCAAAGCCCGGAGAGGTATATTAAGAAGAGCAGTCTTTTCCGAAGATCAGAGAAAAGCTTTGGAGAAAATGTTTCAGAAACAGAAGTATATCAGTAAAACAGACAGGAAGAAACTGGCCATTAACCTGGGCCTAAAGGAATCACAGGTAAGGAGGAATGACAGAACATCCATGACTTTCTGTCTTTTTGAAGCAAAAATCTTGTAAATGGCTTTACAGAAGGAAAACTGAACAGCCTAGGGGCAGCCCTGCGCCTCAGACCTCAGTAAATCAATGGCAGTTTTAACCAAGGAATGCTTGAACAAGTGTCTGTCCCTAGTTCATTCCCTGAAGATGTACATTCAGAAGTTGATCACTCCAGTTCAACACAAAATGGGAGTAAAATGACCTTTGAATTTCATTTCCAACTCCCATTTTGCTGTCTGACACAGCCCCCCTCAGGGGCTTTGGGGAACTGAATTGTGCTCCCTTCCACTGCCACATAGGCAGCAATCCAGGCAGAAGGCAACACACAGAGCCCTCCTGCGTTCCTCTGAGCACCCTTTGCACCCACTGCTGAGCAGCTAATGACGTTGCAATCAGCCACACTCACTCTGAAGTCATTATGCCCCAAGAGAAAGGGCAGCCATCCCTACAAAAACAAACATGGCTCCACAAGGAAAAAGATCCTCAGAGTTGAGAGAAGCCCTAGAAGGAAAATTTTGCAGGGTGACCTTCCAAAAGGCTCCCACTTTCCTTACTAATTTGCATTTCATAGGATTTTTCACATGATTCTGATTTGGCCTACTGCAGAACTTCAGAATTTAGCTGAGGGTTTAATACCTCTGGCAAGTTGTTCTGACTGAAAGAATGTGTTAATGATGATGCCTAGAGGCAGTAGCCAAATCTGGAATCTCAGAGGCCTGACCAAGCTGCAAATACAGGCAAAGGAAAATTGCCTGGCTTGAAGGCCACAAATTCTAAAAACCCTGGAAAAGAAGTTTGGGAGGGTATGCAACAGCAGAAAATGAGCGTGGTCGCAACTGGCAGGTGAGATTCTGAAGGCGCTGGAGGAGATGCAGGTCTGCGGAGTATAGCTGAAACAGGGTGAGAGAGTGGCAGTACAGTCGTATTTCTATGCATGTGGCAGGATTGAAAGTGCCTAAGAAAATTAGAGCTGAAGCTATCTAGCTTCTGGTAACTTTGCCATGAGCTCTGCACTGCGTAAGAGGTTGGATCTTGTGGACTGCAGCAGTTCCTTGCAACCTGAATGCGTCTTTGACTCTGTCTCAAGCACTGCAACTATAAAGAACAAAGAATGTGGAGCTGTGGCCCTTTTCAGGATGATGAGCAGAGCTGTAATCTCTGCAGGATAAACGATTTCTTTTCAATGAAAATATGCAATTGCGCTCTCCACTGAGCTGCCTAAAAATTTCTCAGTATATAGTCAAATTCTTAATATTATGGCTATATCTTTGAGCTTTTTTTCTCTGTTCTCAATATTCAGGAGAGCCTAGGGGAATAAGAAATAATGAAGTGAGACAGAGAGAACAACTAACACTACAGGAAAATTGTTTCATGATAACGATAGACTAGATCATGCCCTCCAGAGATTTTTCTCATAAAGGGAAGAATAGTTCTCATGAGGGTCAGTTCTTAGTTTTCTGACTGGTTGTGCTTGAGGAGCAGAATCTGCCATCTCAGACTATGATTCTCAAACCTTTTGAAATTATAACCCCTCTGTCTTCCTACCAAGTATCTGAATACTAGAACTTCATGTAAATGTTTCAGGAAAAAAAAAAGTAATCCGAATAAATCTGATTGATTCATCCCCCCCAACACACTTCTTCCCTTTATGTAAAAAATACCTTGAAACCCACAAGATCAAGCTTTGCAATTCAGAGTTTTTGGAAAATGGTTTTTATCTCAAAAGCACATGGATTCTAGGCAATTCCTGAGCACCTGTATTCAGAAAGACAAAACCTCAAATGTCTTTAAATCCTCACTTCTGTCTCATAACACACATTTTGTAGCTATATGGCCAAGCTATCTTTAGCTATGCTTGTGAGTGGGACAGTCATAGTTCTCACAGCCTCTTCAAATAGAAACCTTCACATTGCCAATATTATCACTTAGTTTTGTTAATGTTACTCTGAGAATCCTTATCTGTCTACAAAAAGGATGCTACAGGAGGTTGCTCTCCCTAGCCACTGGTGCGTCCTCTTTCCAGTCTAAGCCAAATAATCACCTCTTGGAAAAGGGGAAAGTCAAGGAGAGCATTTGGCCCAGCTGACGGAAATAGTCATGGGAAAATGCTCAGCCAGTGTAAATGAGATAGCCTCACTGCGCTATGACATTGACTGAGGAGGGAACGTAAAACAGGGTATGGCAAGAAAAAAAAACTGTTAAGACAAAGTTGTTCTGAGAAAACAATGACGATAAACTCTCATTAACTTGCAAACAGGTGAAAATTTGGTTTCAGAACCGAAGGATGAAATGGCGAAACTCCAAAGAAAAAGAAGTGCTTTCAAACAGGTGCCTCCAAGAAGAGAGTCTTCAGGAGAACTACCTCTCAAGATCCACCATGAATTTTACCTCCCCATGCCCTTCTGTTTGGGAAGTGTCTCAGGAGCAGGCAAGTACAAGGTGGAGGGAGAATTCTCCAGGAACTTCTGAAAGACTGGCTAGTACACAACCACTTCCAAGAGCAAATTCATCACAGAGCCCACTGTATTTGTATCCTGATCAAGACACTGCAAATAAGGCAGTTACGTCATCAGCCTAAGGAAATAAGAGGCAGTTTGTAAATTGAGTGAAGAGCACAGGCTTCAAATGGGTGGTCTTCTAAGACTAACAATATTTGGACACTGTAAAGCTAACTAGTTTATGTCTCATCAATTTTCTAAAGTCTAACACCATTAAAATGACAAACAACTAATGATTTAAGAAATATTCTTGAATACTCAGTCTTTTCTTCTGTCTTTTCCAGTCTTGTACTGACCTTAAAAGTGAAATAGGAACTGATGGTAAGTAAAAGGAAGTGAAGAGCATGGAGCTGAAATTTTGCTCTGATTTATAAATCTGTGCTGTATATAGATGTTCATTAAAAGCACACTGATAGAGACTCACTTTTATTCTCATTGCAGTCAGCCAATTAATTTCTTTTGTGCACAAGAATAACTCTGTGTCCCCCAAGACAATAAGCTGCTTTGGATGTTTTTTTGAAATTGATAAGATGACACAATAGGTTCATATTAGATGAACATAAAAATTTTTAGTATGTTTCTCCATTTGTCCTCACCTAACATGATTATCCAGTTAGTTCTAAATAGCGTGGCCACAAGTCAGCTGATTACCCTAGTTAAGTTGCAATATTAGAAGACAACCAACCAACCCTATTAAAATACCCTGCATTTAAATCACTTTGATTTGAATTCATACTGAGAAATGCAATTCACCAACTCCTTTCTTTTCTCCTGTGGATGAAACTTAGAGCATTCTTAACTCTGAATTTCAGTGGCTTCTGTCAGATTGTTAGTGCAATCTCTTGTATGCTGTTCTGTATTTTAAAATTGTGATGGCAATATGCAGAATTATAGCCCAAATGGAATAAGCAACAGAACTATAATTGGACACCTTGGGACCCTAGCCCTCTCAGAGAAGAACTTAAAGAGATGGCATGCTGTAGTAGTCTTATTCTTGACTTACTCCTATTTAAACTGGTGCCAATAAGTGCACATTAGTATATTTCTGTATCAAAGACAGGACAGTATTCTATGTAATACAAGTAGCCTGAAATAATATTATTTAAAATTGCTTTACTTGAAATGATTTGTTTGCTTCACCCACTCATTCCCATCTCCAAATGGGAATAGAAAGTGTTTTTTTCCCTCATACTTTTGTGAATGCATTCGTTGAGGAGAAAGACTGGAGGTATTTTATGTTACAGGCAAAACCTTTTGAAGAACATTTAGGTTTTATAAGGACTATTTCATTTCTGTCAGATTCCTGTATTTTATAGCCAGAAGAAATGATTATGATAATCTCGTCTGGCTTCTCTCATCATGCATCCCATGTTTCTAATTATTCTTGCCTTGAGCTCCATAGCTTTTTGAACTATATCATGGTCTTTCACAAAGCCATACAATTGTTACTTAAAATATTACCTTTGGAAGATGATCTACTACCTCCCAAATAATACAACGTATCAAGGGGAATAAAGTTTAGAAACATTTGCAGTACTGGACTTGAAATTGCAGTGACAGAGTTTGTATCACAACAATATGCATGATCAGGCAAGTTTTGTATCCCAGCCTGTGCATGTCCTGCCTTTAAGTGCTCAGCTGTGCAGTCCTAATCTTGCACTAATGTCATTCTTTGCATGTAAATTCTTAGGCTTGCTTTAAATCAAAAAGACATTTCAGAAAAATTAAGAAATAATCTCCTCATCAAGTTAGAAACCCCGGTTAGCACAAGCTACCTAGATACCTACCTACCCTCAGAGGGCTATTGAACACATTTAGAAAGCCATGTTTTACATGCTATTTACTCATGTGAGAAGAAATTTATTCCTATCCTGCAGTAGAAACTCCAGAACCTACCCCTATTCTGCACAGGAGCTTTTATGGAGAGATGGATGGACAGACTGCTTATCACACACAGGGACGAATTTACCTTCTAATTGACCTGTTGAAATCATAGGGACTAGTCCAACAGGGCAGGACTATCTGAAGGATTAGCAAGAGTTATTGGCCCAGATTCATCCGCAACAGCATCTGTTAGCAGCTGCCTACAATGAAAGGCATGCAGGGATTTCCAAATTATCACCAAATTACTAAGTAGAGGGATGTGGGGGCTGGGGAGGAGGGGTATTCATCAATGCTTCCTATTTTGGAGAGAATCAGTGCATGCTTGGGGCAATTTGGGGTTTTACAGTCTCACTTTCCAGGTGTAGGTGTGAAGCCCTGGAAGGGAGAGCTTTCACAGCCACTTCTATTCTTTTACTAAGCCTCCCGCGCCACAACTCAATCAAGTGGCAGTGTTAGAAACAGTGACAGATGGGATTCAGGATGCTTACTGTGAAATTCTTTCAGTTGATGATGCTGTTGCAAGCACTGAATGTGAGCTATTATAAAAACTCTGCACTGATGTGCTAAACATCACATTTGAAGAACCTCTCAGTGAGGCAAAGATCAAGCGAGGCTCATGCAGAATTGGTTTCACAGTTATAATGTTACACATGTTTTAAATTGAGCAAGTTCTAGTTTCACGGTAGCCTATTTAAAGCTACACCACTTCATGGCCCTCCAAACCTCTAACACTTCCTATTAGAATTCTTATTTCATAGCTAGAATAAAGTTTCAATATGCCAGGTTAAACCTCTCTTTACTTGAAAATGCTGATCTAGTTTTCTTCAAAACCTTAGAAATGTGTGCATTTTGAATTATACCTAAAATAGTATGATTCAATTACTCAGAATCTACTTAGGCCTGTAACACATAACGAGCCTGATTCCCCTCATTTTAAGCTTTTTAAAGGGGAAATTTCTTCTGTGCCAACATACTGTGAAATCTTGGTAAATGAGAAGCAGCACTCAGTATGCACACAGAAAATACGAGAGACTTACAGTGCCAGTCTTTTCTGAGTGTGATGGATCAAGAACTATTAGTTTTCTTCAAATATGGTATGAACACTAGTTATAAAAGAACAAAGAGAACATAAATGATACACAAAATCCCCAGCAGGTGTTTGAAGTATTTTGACATGCCCATTGCAGGGCTGTAAGGCATATAATGCACCTGGTTTGGTATTACGGAATGACATAATATATACTGATGGCATCTCACTGTTAAAACTGGGTGCATACTATTTTGACTTCAAAGATATGAATTGATGGATGATCATGCTGCATGGGTACAGGGCATCTGAGCTATTTTTTTTAATATACGGCATTTTGAGACAATATAGTTCCAGCCTGTAGAATATTATGAAGGACATTTGTTGGGATCCTGGGATTTGGCAGAATTTAGGTGCCTTATATTCAGAACTGCAACAAAAAGCTGACTGTTCAGTGTGCCATTAACAATGCAGATACTTATACTTGCTGGGCACCTCTCTGTTTAGTCTGGCAACTTATCAATGCTAATGTAATATAAAATACAACAGGGAAAGGAAGAAAGGACTGAGACTCAGTACTCCCTTTGTTATCCAAGTTGCAGACTCCTGTTCCCTTAGGCTGTCCTGCTGACACACTACAGATCTTGCTGCACAGTGGAGCAGCGTCAGGAACAGGAGGAGATTCGAGACTGCCCAGACTAGTTTGAATGTAGATTTCCAGAATCTACTTTTGGGGTTAGGGACTCCAAGTAGGTTCTCTGATACTTAACACAGAGGTGCCAAAGTCCATTTCTAGATCAGGCTCTTGGTCTTTTAAACAGAATCACAAATGAGTGGCAGATTATCAGGCACTGCCACAGTCATGTTTCATTGCACGTAAACAACTCTGAGATCATGAACATGAAAAGAGGCAAGCTAGCTTCTCCATGGACTTCATATAACATTGTTAAAAGCTGGACATAATGACTACACCTGTGTCAGCACTTAAACTTTGGTTGTACAGATTTATAGTATAAAATACTTTTCTAAAAGTTCTCTTGATTCTCTGCCAAACAGGAATTAATTGTGAGGATCTGTTTAGCAAACAGGACTGCTTTGAGGCACAAAACTGCATTACTAACTTCAATGTCAGAACAATAACACAGCAGCCAAATGTCACTCCTTAGCTGCAGTAACACATCAGATTAGTTTTATCCGCTAGTTTTTATGTGGTTTTAAATAACAGTTGCCATCACCTTAGCCACACGATTCCTCTGACGAACATAATCTGTTCCACATTCAAAAGACCGACATGAATTACATTCACTTGCTTCTGTACCTTCTATGAACAGTAACGTTGTTGATCTTCACAAGCTAGAAAAACAAACAAGTTCAAAGCAAGTTAGCTATAAATGTAGTGCCCTAAGAAAGGTCCAGAGAGAGATTAGGGCCCAGTTAACTTTAAATTTAGTTTAGGACCATAGGGAGACCAAAAGGCCACTGCAGAAGGAGGTTCACATTCTAAATAGACTGAACTGCCATTGACTGTAGAGGTCTACAACAACTGTGCTTCTAGTTACGTGCCTGACAACTGCTGCTATAGGAGAGAAACCTAGATTTATAAACCTGGATCTAAGATGCTCCCCATGTAGACTTGCTGGCCAACAACCTGGTTTCCCACTCCCTGGTTTCTTACAGAGACTGGCTGTACTTCTAAACAATGAAGCTGGGCATGATGGACAGGGACATCTCAAGGCAACATGTTGACAGTGATCCCCCAGTATTCACCCAAACATTCATGCAAACATCTAACCTTTTATAAACATTCAGTGCCTCAGGAATTCTTAAGGTTTTCCAAGTCAATTTTTCTTTGCATGTCAACATTAGAATGTGATGTCAGGTATTTAAAAATTTATGTATACCAGTCAAAGATGTCTGTTTCCATTTTTTTCTGCTTTGCTATGATATGGTTTAAGATAAGAGTTAAACTATAACACAATTCTGTCTTGTAACTTATCTTTCACTTACTCCATCATGCCAAACATCAGCACACAACAGATTCGATCTAAACCTATGATGCCTTATCAAAGCCATTACAGAAGTAATGTTCGGTAAGCAAGAGTGTCTCTCTACCATGTCCTTCATCATCCTTAAAAAATACAACTAGGAAATCTGCCTCTAACATATAAATTCTAATAACTGAAAATACGAATTGCACAATACAAAAAATATCTATATTCTGGGGATATCCTGCAACATTTAATGTAATAAAGTTTGGAGAACAAAGGAAATATTTGTAATTTTTAAATCTGCTTGGCTGATGAGGAAAGTTAATAGGAACATTTTGTTGCAGAATCCGAAATTACGTCATGACTATGACATACATTGCTATATATTGCTGTATATGAGCTAAACAATTAATTAGAAGCAAATATATTCATTCTGATTTTCCATTATTTTGTAGACAAAGTTGTGTCTCCTAAAGTTAACATTAGCATTCTCAGATGAAAATGAGATCTTACATTTCAAAGCATTTGATTTTAGTGCACTTTTTCACATTTTCAAATATTCCTAACTAGTTTCACTGCTGCCTTGAAGAAAAATCATACAGATGATGAAGTATTCCCCTGTGTAAAAAGCAACCATCAGTGATATTTCTATTTGACGCATCAGTCACTAAGGAGAAAAACATGCCCTTTTCAACCAACTCTTCAACTGTTTTCTCAATAAAAGAGGACGTAATACGTTGCTGGCAATATAGAAAAGCCTTTGTTACCAACATGCCTCATTTCAGCCATAGGCAAATCATGGAATGTAACACTAATTTGTGACGGCAAATTAACATGAATGACTATGGATAATATTTTGGTAGACTGTTGTTCCTTCTGCAGCACCCACTTTATCATTTTCTGTATTTTCATATTTCTCTACAAGAAAATATTTCCACAGTTTTGCTCTTAAAGTACAGCAGAATTATTTTTATGATCTGCTCCATTTATAAAATGTTTTCCATCTAACGGTAAGCTACAACCACTGGAGGATCTTCCCAAGATCCTCGTAGCAGTTACTGTTCACTTTCCTGATCCACGCCAAGTCACCTTGCAGCGCATTCGGACAAGGAAGAAGCCTTATGTTGTCAAAGGCTGTGCTGGGGTGACATGGTGTCTCCTGAACCTGGGTGTCATGTCAATCACTGTCATGGCCACGCTCCACTTTAGGTCACAGTCATTCCCTTCTGAGGAAAAAAAACCCAGATGCTGTGCATCATACTGCCAGAATGTAATTCATGGCCAATACATAGCATCAAGTCATCCCCAGACACCAAAAGTTTGAATTTACTGGAGACTGTGAGCTGCAGTTACCTTCAACAGCCTAAATCTATTCTGGAAATACATTTTAAACACACATTTATACATCTCGGTGATGGCTGAAACCACTTTTGTACACAGCTTGTTAAAATACCCTTTTGTTTTAAGGGAGATGCAGGGCTCAGCCTCGGATTAAGAACAGGGACGCGACGCCAGGGCAGCAGCACTGACCGAAGGCCCCAGGGCCATCGGGCAGGCCAGGGCCAGCTGCCACCGCACTCTGCCTTCAGCCGCAGCCCCTTCTCCCA